TTTTTTTTTTTTTTTTTTTTGCCCAATGAAATAATTTTGCAAATTTGTGAATTTTTTTGATAATGTATGTATAGGTTTTTTGGTTTTTAATGTTGTTTTTTCATTTTTTAAGTTAAAAAAAATATTTTTTTTTTATTATTATATTTTTTTTTAACTCAAAGGGCAAAATCATCTCGGAGGCAGTATTTAGTAAAAACTCATGTGCTAAATACTAACACCCCAAATTTAAATTTAAATTTCAAAAACAGCCCACATATCATAAAAAGCGGAACGACAACGGTAACTACCAGCCAGCTGTCATCTACCATTATTATTATAGTATTATTTTTCTATCGAAAAATATCAGCCTTCAAACCAAAGCATCCAAGAACTCATTTCCTATTTATATTCCCTTTCCCGGAAACCCTAACCTGCACTCAGAAAATCTTCTCCAGAGCGTCTTTGCATACGCATCTGGCTTTTTCTTCCTTCCTTCTTCCTATCAATCTAGCTCAAGTTTTTAGCGAAGATGAGAGAGTGCATTTCGATCCACATCGGACAGGCCGGTATTCAGGTCGGCAACGCTTGCTGGGAGCTCTACTGCCTCGAGCATGGCATTCAGGTTTGCATTTAGATCTAATGACCTTATCGTGTCATTACATGTAAATCTGTTAGATCTGGCCTTTTTTTTTGGCTTTTGATTTATGCCGTGGCTGCGTTGTTGTACCGATTTCGTCTGCTTCCGTCGTTAGATGTGATTGTATTTTTTGAAAGTTATCTGTAATTACGTTCTTAATCTGTCATGAAATGAAGAATGTCTAATGGATTTGTCTTTTTATCGGTTGATTTTACCAGATCTAGTGAATATTATCTGTTATTCTTTTCCAGATTCGTAGTTTTTCGGTATAAATCTGAAATACGTTGAGATCTGTGAATACATTATGAAAAATGTCGTATGGATGCGATGGCTATGGTGATTATGGTGATTTTTCCTTTATTATTTATTGATTAAGCTTCAATTCGATAGATCTAGTGAGTTTTGTATCCCTCTTGTTCATCCTGAAAGTTGTTCTTCTAGGGTACTCGTAGCGTGTCTGTATAAGGTTTGTGTCCTGACCGAGTTGTACTGTTTTTACAGCCGGATGGACAAATGCCAAGTGATACCACTGTTGGTGGCGGTGATGATGCCTTCAACACATTCTTCAGCGAAACTGGTGCTGGCAAACACGTTCCTCGTGCAGTGTTTGTGGACCTTGAGCCAACTGTGATTGATGAGGTGCGCACTGGAACATACCGTCAGCTTTTCCACCCTGAGCAGCTCATCAGTGGCAAAGAGGATGCTGCCAACAACTTTGCCAGAGGTCATTACACCATTGGCAAAGAGATTGTGGATCTCTGCCTTGATAGGATCCGCAAGCTGGCAGATAACTGCACTGGGCTACAGGGATTCTTGGTTTTCCACGCTGTTGGTGGCGGCACTGGATCTGGGCTTGGATCCCTTCTCCTGGAGAGGCTCTCGGTTGACTATGGAAAGAAATCAAAGCTGGGCTTCACCATTTACCCTTCGCCTCAGGTGTCGACTGCTGTTGTTGAGCCTTACAACTCTGTCCTCTCGACCCATTCTCTGCTGGAGCACACTGATGTCGCTGTCCTTCTCGACAATGAGGCTATCTATGACATCTGCCGCAAATCTCTTGACATTGAGAGGCCCACCTACACTAACCTTAACAGGCTCATTTCTCAGGTATAATTTAATCATTTTTCTCAAATGTATTTTATTTGATGTTTTTGTAAGTATATAATAGGAAAAAATAATGTTTTTTTTTTTGAATCGCCAGGTAATTTCGTCTTTGACAGCCTCCCTGAGGTTTGACGGCGCCCTGAATGTGGATGTGAACGAGTTCCAGACGAACTTGGTCCCATACCCGAGGATCCACTTCATGCTCTCGTCATATGCTCCTGTCATCTCAGCCGAGAAGGCCTACCACGAGCAGCTGTCTGTTGCTGAGATCACCAACACTGCCTTTGAGCCTTCATCCATGATGGTCAAGTGTGATCCTCGCCATGGCAAATACATGGCCTGCTGCCTCATGTACAGAGGTGATGTGGTCCCCAAAGATGTGAATGCAGCTGTGGCCACCATCAAAACCAAACGCACCATTCAGTTTGTCGATTGGTGCCCGACTGGGTTCAAGTGCGGTATCAACTACCAGCCCCCAACTGTGGTCCCTGGTGGTGACCTGGCCAAGGTGCAGAGGGCTGTATGCATGATCTCCAACTCAACCAGTGTGGCTGAGGTGTTCTCGAGGATTGACCACAAGTTTGACCTGATGTATGCGAAGAGGGCCTTTGTGCATTGGTACGTGGGTGAGGGCATGGAGGAAGGGGAGTTCTCGGAGGCCAGGGAGGACTTGGCTGCGCTTGAGAAGGATTATGAGGAGGTTGGTGCTGAGAGTGCTGAGGGTGATGAGGACGAGGATGAGGGCTATTGAGTGTTGTTTGTCTCATCTTCTGTTTCTGTGTTTTGAATTTGAACTCTCTTGTGATGTCATGATTTTCTGTATTTGTCTGTTTGTTTCTGGGTGAGTGGTGGTGTTTGAACTCAAGTGTGTCATTGGGTTGTTGCCTGTTATTTGGGTTTCGATGGTGGTGTTAATCTCCTTCAATGAAATACTACTTATCTTTTATTTGGTTCTAATCAGTACCTTTTGTATGAAATATCTCAATTCTCAACTAATCCTATTAATTATTAAGGTGTGAATCATTTACATTGCATTTGATGTAGTTCTAAATTTTATGATTGTGTTTAGAAGTTTCTTATAAATAGGAATTTTAGTTATAAATAGGAATTTTAGTTATAATGAAATTTTTTAAAATACATTCCTCAATTCTCTCTGGTCTTATAAGAATTTATTCCCCTCAATCCCCTCAGAAATATTACTAAAAAAATAAATACTTCTATTATAACAATCTATATCAACACGGATCTCTGTCTTATAGAACTCGATTTGTCATATGACGATAGTATATTTTACAGTTGTGTCTTTATATACACAATCGACTGTATCAGAATGAAAAAAATATTACAAATTGTGCCTGAAAAATAGAATGTTTTGCAGGCAATAATGTGCTTGAAAAATCATGAACATTACAAATAGTCGTCTTCATCGAACAATATTCTGCCGAAAAAATCATGGTTTTCCCAATTATAGACAAACAAACACACAAATCGTCGTCTTTTCCTCAAACAATACCCTGCCGAAAAAATCATGTTCGTCCCATTTACAGAAACTAAGCAAACACAGATGAGTCTTTATAAAAACGAAGAAAATAAAAATAATAATAAAAAATTTTCAGTTTATTCATTGTCCACCTTCATAATTTTGTTCATATCATACTATCCCTCCGTTGAATAGCCACCATATTCACGCAGTACAAAATGTCAAAGCAAAACTTTCACTAGCTAAGTTTCATTTCGGAAAAATCAATTCTCTCGTCGGAGAGTTCCATATTATCTCGTCGGAGAGTTTCTAATTCCATCGCATGAGGGTTTAATTCCGGTTTCAAATTGAAGCTTTGAGATCGTCTCTTTCCATTTTAGTTATCATTTTGTCACCCCAAATTTCCGTCGGCTATTAGGATTTCTTCGTGTGGGGATTTTCGTTGTGCCTTAGTTTCACCTATGAGCTCGACAGAAGAAATCGCAGGTCGGCTCAAAGCCTTCTCTCTCTCTGCAAAGGAGTCATCAATCATCGATTTGGGGAAGGAAGATGTAACGTCCCACTTTTATTTAAACAAAAATCCATGGCTTTTTAGAAAAATCAAATTAATTTTTCAAAACTCGTCTTAAACATTTGTGGCGTTACTCATTTATTTCTTAATCCTTTAACATGGCATAATATCAAATCATAACATAATTCATCAATCATAAAATTCAACTCCCATAAAGGGTTCATCCAAAACCATCCATCACCAAACCGGGTTTTCAAAGTCATCACAGTGTTCACGGGGCATCTCCCCAACATTATTTCAAATCGTAATATTCTCGAGTTCATATATTCATAAATCAGTTCATCATAGCGGAAGCAACAGTTAAATAATCAATTCATAAAGACCGACCACCACTCGCTCCACTCCGCCGTCATGCCTGCCCTGCTTAACCTGAAATGTTAATTTCAGGTGGGAGTGAGCACATATGCAATCTGTGGTGCTCACCACTATGCAATAAACATTAATCATAAGGTAAAACAGGTATGGTCACAACATGAATACGAAACAATTATCTACCCCATCTTCCATCATAAAATCATAAGTCAAGACTCATGTGCACACCTACGCATAGACTACTGCCGGCTATATATCGAATGCCACGACCCTAGCCTTTTGGTCTTACAACGAGTGCCCAACCAGTAAGAGTATCCCCCGTCAGCCGAGCACCGCCCTGGCTCACAACGGGGAACCGACCGAGCACAGCTCTGGTCTCATGCCTCCGACCGAGCACAATCCTGGTCTTACAGGCGTATAGAGAAGATTACCCCACATGGCAAATAAGGACAATACCAACGAGTTTAAACACAAAACATTTGGTTCATAAAATCTGGCAGAGACTAACTTATGATATAAACAACATCTCAGTATTTATCATCTAAATCATGCTACAGACCTCCAAATGACATGATTCTTGCATGCTTAGAGAGCTAAAAGACAGTCCTACAACTTTAATTTAGGCCACAGATGTAGATAGGGTCATTAAAAAGGTGTAAAAGAAGTTAACATTCGGAATCAATTTCTGCCAAAAGTATACAAAATCGTCTCATGCCTATCCTCATTCAATTAAACATAACTCGAGCCACATACATCATACCAGCATGAACCTTACCTCATCAAAAAAGCTAAGAAACAGACCTATAATTTTCATGAAGATCACAATTTCGTTTGAACACATTAAGACACACCAAACAAGCCAAACATTTATTATGAACTTGCTGTCGGGTCTACAGAAGAAAAAGAAATTGAGGGATCGGGGAGACGATTGAATTGTTGTTCTGTACTCTCTCGCACAAACAGAGAGAAATAGAAGAGATGAGGGTTGAAAATTTCAACGTTGGGGAAATAAGGCAAGGAACTTAGACTAGCAAAATTGATGGGTAATAATACCAATTTTGAATTACATAATTGGCCCAAAATCCTTGATAAACTCGGTCAAAGGGGCTAAATAATAGTTGATGAAATCCTTGCCAAACATAGTCTCAAGAGGGTTTGAAAATAATAATAGTGTTTGAGGTTCGGGTCGAAACGGCTCGAAAACAGATTTAAAAGAATTTGTTTACGCGATTAAATCGAAAATCGCCGAACAATAAAAATAAATAAACCGGATGATAATATATATGTATATACACAATATTTATTTAAATAAATAATCTAGTAACAATTAGGCAATTAATAGGAATAATAATAATAATAAAGTAATAATGCCAATTAAATATCCGAAAAACCTAATAATTGAACGAAACATCATATTATCATTAAGAAAATATAATGTGACGACTTTAATCGAGAAATAATTAAATAGCCCAAAATAAAACAATACCATGAAATTTCATAAAATCTAAATAATCACATAAATTCTATTATTTGAACGAGGCGCTACAGAAGATGTCAAAGCAAGCAAGGTTGAATGCGATAAAAGCCTATTTGGGAAAATAATAGGTGATAAAAGAGCAAGCTTTATCGGGATCAAGAAAGCGATGGGCTCTATCTGGAAGATACAAAATGCAATGGAAGTCAGAGAACTAGGTATCAACTTCTTCCAGTTTATTTTCGAGAATCCAGAAGATTTAAAAAAAGTAGCTAGCGACTCTGATTGACTATTTGAGAATCAGTATCTCATCTCTACAAATCATGAAGGTTTTGACCACCTCAAACTATGTGTCCAAGTTCATAAGGTCCCTCTGAACTGGATTACCACTGAAGTATGGCTAAAGGTGGGAAAAATCTTCAAAGAAATCTAACAATTGCTTGGTGAACTCTTTAAGCCAAGGAGGCAGATTCATCAAAATATTGGTAGCTATGGATCTGAAAGAAGCTCTGCCTAGATGCACCAGTATTAGATTAGGACAACAACAGGTCACAGTGGAATTAAAATATGGAAGGCTGATTAATCTTTGCGTCTACTGTGGGAGAGTGGGACACATTGAGAAAGCCTGTTCCACAAGATTAGAAGACATAACTAAGAACAACCTTAAAGATAGTCAGTTTGGGGACTGGATGCGAGCATGGGATAACTACCAAGGAAACAGTGGGAATAATTCTGGGTCCTCCTCAGGACAAGTAAAAAGGACCACTTCAAACCCAAGTGAGGTTCAACCTGTTATAGGAGAATCAGGCAACATGTCCAAATCTTCTCATACTCTAAACTCTGAGATCCCAAAAGAAACAGAAAAACAACAGGTACAAAAGGCTCTCATTATTTCAGAAAAAGCTAAGAACCTTACTCCCCACCAGAGAAGAATGGGCCTTATGACATGGCTATCATTCAACAAGAAGCTGCAGAAACTCTTTTCACCACAACTCCAGTTGCTACTGACTCAACAATGATAGACTCTGCAACTCATGAGGCATTAAGCAGTAACTCTTTACCATTGATTGAGCACCATCAAATGAACCAACCAAGTTTCTCATTGAGGAAAACTTGGAAAAGAGCTGCCAAACCTGAAGGAAGACTTCAGAGGAAAACACATGCTTCTAACTCAACAGGCACTGCCTCAACTAAAAGAGCAAGAGAGGACACACCTGCTACACAACCAACAAAACTCACACCAATGTCAGCATCAGAGAAAGGTAAAAAGCCAAAACTTGTCTTGGGAAGGGTAGAGAGGGCCAACCCTAATGGGTCCTCAGAGAATCAATGAATGCACTGATGTGGAACTGTAGAGGTCTGGGTGGGCCCTCTACAGTTCCTCAACTAAAAGAGGCCATTAGAAGCCATCACCCAATTTTTGTCTTTCTCTCTGAAGTTAAAAAATCAAAAAAATTCACATTTTCAGTTTGTAAGAAAATTGGTTTTGATGATAGATGTCTTATTGTTGAGCCCAGAGGTACTAGTGGTGGTCTATGGTTATTATGGGATAATAATATCCATATTATTCATATGTACAATTCTTCTTTCTTTATTGCAGTCAATTATATTCCCAATTCTGGAGATACTGTTGTTTGGTCTATCTTTGTTTATCTCAACTCTATTAAATCAGACCTAGAGTTACAATGGGACATCCTGATCAATGAAAAAAAAAAGTGAGGTGCAAGATGGAGCATTGCAGGAGATTGGAATGATATTCTCCAATCCTCAGATAAAAAAGGTGGCAGACTCAGAACTGAGCACAGTCTAGCAGGCTTAAAAAGTTTTGTAGCAGAAATGGGAATGCATGAAGTCTTAGCAAAAGGCTATTATTTTACCTAGGGAAATAATAGGGAGGGAGAAGGCTATGTGAAG